CCCCCCACCCTCCAGGAATTTAATTACCTAAGGAAAATTATACTACTGATTACAAGATTGCAGGTTTATTTTCACTGCTGAGAACTCTTTTTTTTTTTTTTTACAGCTCACATTACACTTGCATGACTTGTTTTGTAACATCTTGAAATTTTTAATGCTATGATGAGGAAAGGTACTTATATATATATATATATATATATAGATGAACTAGGCAGAATACTTGATTTGCAGTCTTTTTGAAGGGAAATTGTTATTTCCTTGGTTTGAGTAGACCTGTATTATGGTTTCTTTGAGCTATTGGATAATGAGTTCACAGGATTGCTCCCAGGATGTGCCTTGTGTTTGTCCTTCAGGCCGGGTGCAATATGAGGAACTGAGAGAGGTGTCTTTAAAACATAAAAAGAAATGTTTTCTATAGGGGAATAAAAGTAAATTATGCAGAAATTGTGACTACAGTGTGTATGAAATTAAACTGGCAAGTATACTGTGGTAAATATTTGACAGATAGGACAACAATTTTGACAGATTCTCAGTTTTTCCAATAAATCATTGCACCTGGGTCTTGTAAATAAAAATTCACGTCAGCCAGCACTGCATAGTGAGTTAAGGTCAGGAGAGATTTCCAAATGTGTTATGATGATTATCTAACAATTCAGTTAATAGAGCCGTAGAATTGGATGAGATTTTTGTCATTTCCCATGTCATAGCAACAGAGACCTTTGACTGAAACAACATCATGAATATTGGATAAGATCCTGCAGTGCTGTTTCTCCATGTTATGATATTATCCAAGGACGAAGGTTACAAATACATGAGTTGTACTATTCATTTTCCAGTGGGTAAAAACAAAGAAAAAAACCCCCCTAAACAAGTTTCAATACACAACTAGATATAATATATCTTTTTCTTTATATATATATATATCTGTATATATATCAAGTAAAAAAATCTAAAATAGTTGGAAGTAAAAAATGAAAAAATAGCTGATAGTGTTATTTTTTTCTTTACAGTGATATGGTAGCAAATACAAGACAAATGAATAATAAACCTTTACATAAGGAGTTCTGGTCCCACCTCCATCAATAGGGCTCAGACTAGAATACAAAATGGAACAAGGTGTTTTTTGCTTTTTGGCTACAGCTTCTTCAAGTGACAAAAATTATATCGATAAGACAGAAGAAAATTATAGCACTACACAAAATAAAACTCCAAAGTGTTTTCCAATAGACCTTATAAACACCATAGGGTACAATTGACTTCTGAACTGAGGGAGCAAACACAAAGCATCACCAAGTCCTGCTGAGGCTGAAAATACTGTCTGCTTATCCCAAACTCAAAATACATCCTTTTGGTGCCATCTTACCGTAAAAAAACCCTAATTAATGCTTTATTCACCCTGCCAATATTAAAAAAAAACCAAAGCCACAAATCCATTGAATGGACTGAGCCAGGTGTGAGACCTCAATGATGCACAAGTGGTCGGCTGCCCTTTGTCCAGCAGGGAATTTCCCCAGAATCTTTTACACCAAAAACATCAATTGACTAAAGCTTGGCCAATGGTCACAATGAGCCCTATCTTGGCTGTAGAAAAGAAAGTACTAATCCCAGCTTAAAACAAGATCATAGAGACGCTCAACACAAAACAGTAACTTTTTCATTTGTCTGCATAATAATAACATCATGTTTGCATATAGAACAGCTTTTGCATTATTGCTCTACTTAGAAGAATATAGAACTTATACCAGACTTGCACATTACAAACTTAAGGTTCTTTGGTGAAGAATGAGAAAAAACAGTATTTTCACTGTAATTAAATCTCAGAGAAGTCTCCTTTCCTATCTGCTGATCCTTTGGATTCTCTCGCAGAGCAGGGAAAGGTATTGAGTCAGCTTTACCATGGCGACGATGGCGACCCCACCGATCATCATGCAGGTGGGCCAGAAGAGGGAGTGGAACAGCACGTTGGAGCTGTACAGTTTGGTTAAGATCACATTCTTCTGGACGCCCTCGGGGTCGTAGAAGCAGGAGAAGCGTTGGTACTTCCTGAAGTTTTCCATCACCACGTTCACCAGGGACATGGATTCTTCGTAATTCTTCCCACACTTGGGGATGTACGAGCACTGGGAAGAGATCAGAGGGAGAAAAACATCTCCAAACCTGTTACAATGTCTGTTTTCAGGTGGCAGGTGGGGAAATCTCGAGACGATTATGCTTTTCATAGCAAGAGTGGAATGCTATTACGCTAATAATAAATTTATCGCAGCAAAACTCAATATTTTCCACATCTACAGAATTTCCCATTGGAGAACCTCCAAGTGCTGTTCAAACATTAATGCTTTAATCTGCACAGTGCCTGGTGAGATAGGTGAATATATTATTATTGCTAATTTGCACATGCAAAAATAGAACTGATAAAGTGCCTCTTCATCTTAAGTGGCACACATATGCTCGCAGTTAGATGGGTAATTGACTTTCTGTAAATACAAATCTGGTAGTTTAGCTCTCACTTGGCTTGGATCAAAGTGATCACAGTGGGCCCAGGAGCTCACTCAGAGGGGAGGGGGATGAGGAGAGACCTTCAGACAAATATCCTCATGGGGGTAATGCCTCAGTTAGAGACAAATAAATAGTCTAGGTTTTCCTACCGAAAGCCCAGAGGACTTTCATTCAGCCTCTAGCTGAAGATCAGCCTGGTTCCCAGAGTGGCTCTTAGTGGTGCTTTTGCCTTTGACCCCAGCATAACCCAAACATTTCCTTCTCTCTGAAGATGATCCTGGAATTTTTGTTTTAGTCCAAAAGGAAATAAAATTTGGGAGTGGCTCTATCTAGCACTGCTAGATTTCCAGAGAATACTAAAGGCAAGTTATTTAAAAAGCTGCCTTATGCAGGCCATGCACTGAAGATACTCCATGGGAAAGGCAGGACAGTAGGCCTGGGCTCTGCTGACCAAGAGCTGGTGTGGGCTGGTGAGGTGGCAGGCAGACACAAGGACTGAGGCCACATATGGACAATTTTTAACCTCAGACAGAAACCCCTGAACTTGCTGTTGCTCCTGCTGGTCTGGAAGATGATAAGAGCAGCCCAGCAGCCAGCCTCACTTCCTTCTCTCTTCTATGCACTTGCACCCCACCAAATCTGAAAGTTTTCTGCACCTGCACAGGGTTTTGATTAACTGCTTCAGGAGGAGTGTAAATCTGTTGCCTGACTTCTCCTTGGACATGCAGGTGGGCCCCAGCAGGCTGCTTGTCCTGGTGAGAATCTAAAGGAGCCCCAGATAATTTAATGAGAAAGTGAGTTTTGCAAAGGAAAAAAGATGTTTTGATTAAAATAATGTGACCCATGGGTTTTGATTATTACTGTTTTAATGCACATATTTTATAAATGCCCCTCCATTCCTTTTTGTGACGTGCTGTGACTTCTTTTTTTAACATACTGCAACAAATCTCTAGTCCTAATTATGATCAAAGGATTAACCTCATAACAGGATTTGATTGATTCATTGGCAAGTTATTAACACAGAATATGATTTGAAGCATGGCAGAGAGATTGTCTGGTGTTAGCAGACTGGAGCGTTAATGGTGGAGCGTGGCCACACTGCCATTATGAATATTTCATAGAGCTCTAGAAATTAGAGATGAAAAATATCAGAGCATTAATATCTCATCCATCTTGCTGCTGGTGCGTGTCTGCTCCCTATAGGATATCCTCTTGTACTCTGACCAAATTTGTCTTAAATGTCTCCAATGTCGCGAGCCCTCTTCCAGTGCACACGAGTCTTTAATAGATCATAATCTACTAAGTAGGGGAAATTTCTCAGTGAAGCATTTCTCATTTTCCCTTAATAAATTATCTGTTATCACTGCCATTACAGCAGCATTTCCATTTCAAATGGGTTTGTGTCATGTTTTTTATTTGTAGAAGCCAAAAGGATGAAAGATTCCTGGGTTGTGAGTTTGCAGAAATATCCCAAGAGTGCAGTGAGTCCAGCTACTGTCCAAGTGTTTTCAGAGGGGACCTGAAGCAGAACTTGAGCTGTTCCTCCTACACCTGTGGGCACAGAGCCACCAGCCATGCTGGGCTGCCCATGATGGAGGGTCTGGGAGCATGAAACTGTGAAGAGCAGCTGTGCAAGGGAAGTTGATTTATTTTGCCTCTCATCCAGACTCCTTGTGCTGAAGCTGTCTCTCTCTCCAGGCTGTGGCCTCCCAGGTGCCCTTTACTCTTTCTGCTGTCTGCCTCACTCTGGTTCTCCTGGGATCCTGGAAACATCTTGGTCTTAGCTTTGAGAAGGTCCTCAGCACTAGGACATTAAATTTTGGTTGTGGGGTCTCCTGGCCCCCTTTAACACCTCAGCTTTCCCAGTGATTTCCCAGGGACAGCACAGGGCTGTGTTTCATGGTGTTTGGCAAACAAGTAGGAAGACTTGATAACAGGGTGTATTGATGTTTTCTTTGTTTTCCATAGTTTAAATTTTCAATAGTTTTCTCCCCTGCCTGGTAAGGAATTTTATATCCACAACTGTTATGCTGTACCTGTGAATGTAGACAATTAAATCTATGCTGCTTTTTGACACTTCTGCATTGTCAAATACTTGGAGATCTGCAAGTAAACAATGTTTGGTGCTCTGCTTCAGGTGAAGATTCTGTGATGCAGCATGAGAAAGGTGGTTCTTGTATTCCTTGCAATCTGAGCAGAAGATGGATCTACCAGACAGTTATAAATAGAAGTTGTTATCAATGTTTCTATCTCTAATTTCCTAAAATAAAGGATTGGGTAGGTATCCTGTCTGAACTACCTCTGGACACATCCAGTCTAGTGCCCTGCTCAGTGCAGAGTTGCTAAGGGACTTGTCCAGTCAGGTTGTGAATATCTCTAAGGATGGAGATCACACAACTTCTCCAGGCGAGCTGGAGGCAGTTTCCCTTAAATCAAGGAAGATTCACTAAAAAGGGCACTGCCAGAAATGCCCCCAGCTCAGGCTGGACAGTGAAATATTCAGCTTTCATCATATGTCTGTGGCTGGGATTGGTGTTTAAGCTGAGCCTGGAAACTTAGACAGGATGTGCTGTGGCAATCTTTGTAAGAAAGTGATCAGGATGTCAATTTAAACCCCTCAGAAAGTGCAAAGAGTTCTGTGTCTGAGTTGGCCTGAACTGATTCCTCCAGATGGAATTCTCCAGTTCCAGCCCTGAAATGGGTCTACTGGAATCCACAGCTGAAGACCTCTGCTTCCCCTCCCTGCACCAGGCACACTCCTTCCTGACTTATAAATACCTGAGTCTTCAGTGAGAAACCCTGAGAAGCCACATCATTTCTGAGTCTCAGGCAGTTACAGCTGATTTTGGTGATTAAATCCTTCTTGTTATCTCACTAATGGAGAACTGATATAAATCAGCAGTAGCTCCAATGACATGAAAAGAATCAAAATTACATAAGATGAGATCAAAATGGGGCCTCTCTAATTGCTTTAACTACCACAGCCCTTCCTCATGGTGACAGCCTGGCTCCATGGCAGATTCGCCTCTTGCAGAGGCTGTTACAGCCTTTGGCAGCTGGGGATGGAAAGTGCAGCCACGGAAGCATTTAAACTATTTTGTCTGTAGTATTGACAAGGGGCTGGGCTTCTCCTAAAGGCTAGAGATAAAGTAGGCACAGTGAGAGCAATGAAAAGCCAGAAAAGAATCTTATATGCTTTTCCTGGAAAGACTCAAGCAGCTTGACAGACATCACTGACTTCCCACTGATTCCCACTGGAGACTGGCAGCAGCATGCTGTAGATCTCAGTATAAATTGTACCTACTCCTTACTCCACCTTCTGAGCTGACAGGCAGGTTAGACAGCAATTCTCCTGGATAAACTATTATTTAAAATCAAGGTGGATTTCGCTCTGTCCGTGCTGGCTGGCGGGGAGAAGAGAGACACAGGCTCCAGATGCTGCTCTGCCTCTGTGTGTGGGTGCTCAGCAAAGCACAGAGGTTGGTGGAGGGGTGCTCCCTTTTTGAGGTCACTGGTGTTGGCCTTGGAGTGTCAGGACTGTGCTGTGCTGTCCCCAGTAATGTCAGAGCTCAGTGAGCCAAGCATGTGTTGGTTGTTTTGGTTTTTTTTTTTTTGTTTTTTTTTTTTCTTTTTTTTTGCTTTATTTGGCAAGGGTAAAGATGAGGAACACAGATCTGAGTTCCTCTGAGGATGGAGAGAGACAGTTTAGCACCCAGCTGGAGCATTAGCACCCAGCACTGCTCAGGACTGCTTTCCTGCTGCATGGGGATGCTCTCTGGCCAGAGGAAAAGCACATCTGGGATGTTGAGATTGGTTGTGTTGATTTGAGCTTGGAAACTCTGCTGATCTGAGCCACGAGCAAAAAGACAGGTATTTTATAGACATTGCAAACTTCCATTCAAAACTGCTTTTGTGTTCAGGTCACATAGCCAGCAGCATGCCAGGAAAACCTAGGAATCCTCCTGGGAGTAGAGCTTAACCTGTAAAACAACCTTGGGCTGGAGAAAGTATTAACTGTGTCTACTCTAAATTAAGAGGAGGTTGGCATCTGAGAGAATTCCAAAGTCCATTTCAGCAAGCAAAAAGGATCAATAACAGAATGTGGAGATTTATGCTGAATCTCTCGATTTATTTGAATCAGTGGAGCACAGAGATTTATCTGATCTCTTTTAATCAAATTGAGGTGTGTACATCATGATTTTGCTTGTGCCCCAGCAGGAAGTGGGATCTGTCCTGCCTCAGACTTCACAGACAGTGAGTGCCTCTTCCTGCACTGATGCCAGAGCAGAGGGGAAAAAAGGGGGACTCTTCTCCATTTCACACTTCAGATCCAGAGGACTCCATCTCTCAGCCACGAGAATTAATCATCCAGCAGAATAAGCAGCCTAGTGCAACCATGTCATGCTTTGACAAATTTTAATATCGCTTCATCTTAATATGCAGAAGAAATTTGTTCTACTGAATGGCTGCCATAAATAGGAACACAACAGGTTACGTTGTCAGCAGTCTGATCCTGGGCTCTGTTCTTCTGGGGTGTGCTTTGCCAAGTTTGGGGTTCAGCGACCTTGGATAACCGAGTAGTTAAAGAAAATCTGGCAGCTGTAATGATCCCACTGTGTCCCAGCTCACTCCAGTTCGAACTCTCAGGGACACAGGTGGTGTCAATATGAAGAAAGGAAGGTGGGCAGAGGGAAATTTCCCCATTCTCATCTCGCCTTTCTGTGTGGAAGGAGTGTGGAGCCACCTGTGAAGGTGGGAGTGATGCATGGCCTGTGCCAGCCCCAGCTGTGCTGCCACTGCCTGGAGCCTCCTCTGCATCTGCTGCCTCCCTACAGCCTCCAGACAGGAGCTCTTGCCATCCCACCTGCATGGGCTTACACTGGAGTTTGTACTTGCAGAAGCAGAGAGGGGAATTCCTCAGACTTGCTGGAAATAACCCCGTTAGTTCAATGTCTGGAATCAGGGAAGTTGTGCTGTAAAGGTGGGGCGACTCCTTATCTTATTCACACCCCAAAGCCAGGACTTCTATATTTATGCTGCTGCTTTTCTCTTGCCACTCCCCACTCAGTGAACTTTCAGGATCTTTGCAGGGTAAGTGCAGTGCCTGGAGCCCAGCAGCTGACCTCAGTGGAGCTGCTCGGGCACGGAGTTTGTCACCAGGGATGGAGATGGGCTCTCATCTCTCCCTGCCTCTTTGCCCAGCCCTGCAGAAATGCCCATCTCCCCTCTCACTGCCACACTGATGCTCCCTGCACATTTCAAGGGATGTTCAGTGTTGTGGGGAGCCATTCCTGGGTGGGAATTGACTTGTTCACAGCACCACCAGAATATCAACATGATAAGTGCTCAGTGATCCCCAGCTCCTGCAAAGCACTTGAGAAGGATGAGGGAGGCTGCAGCCCTTGGGGCACAGCACCCCGTGTGGAATGGATGGAGGCAGAAAGCTTCACCTCTCCAGATGTGTGAGCTGGGTTTGTGAACTGATTTCTGCTTTCTCTGCCCTGTATTTATCAGTGAAGCAGAAGCTGGAAGCCTTATATTGCTTTAAAGTGAAGAATGGATGTAATGAGATGAGAAGCCCTCCAGAAACCCATTTAGGAACAAATTTTTTTCTGTGCTCCTACCTCAGAATTAATTTTCATTGTTTCCTCGGTGTGGTAAAGTAGAAGCTTCTGGCCAGAAGAGGTGAGATTAACATACACCTGCAGGCAGGGGTACTGAGAGATTTTCCAGCACTCTGGGCCGCAGTTAAACGAGCAGTTAAAGGTTTCTGTGATGGATGCATTGAGAAGTGAGCACTGAGTCTCTTCTGTCCAGACACTAAGTAGAAAAAAAAGGAGACATTAGAGCATGGCAAGAATAGGTAAATAAGCACTAAAGCCATCTCAGGATTCCCATCAGAGATATACTGTGGGCATCTTGTAGGAGAAGTTACATGTTGCAGTAAAGGCTGGGCTGTCTCATGTCACACATCACAGACAGTGTTTTATTCTGTAGTGCACAGAGTTTAACCTGGGGGCACAAAATGACCCTATCCACTTATGTCTGTGTATAAATGGAAAGTGAACTGGAACTTGGACCCTGGAGAAGGTATGTTTGAGAGTTTCAGCAGAGAAAGAACAAAAATGAGCAGCCTGTGCTGGGGAGAGCACAACACACATGGTGCTGCATGACAAGACACCCTGAGCTAAGACTTGAGGGTTAGCTGAAAGTCCAGGCCAGTTTAAAACAAAGGTTGAGAGGACAATTTTGAATTAGCAGGGCATGGATTCTCATACATGAAGACATAGGAACTTCCAAGTGGTACCTCATGCAGCTCTGCCTGTGGGAAAGCCTTTCCTAGTGGCAGCTTGCTTGGTTTTCTGTAAGTTAAGTCAGTGGTTGTAACTTTTCTGCAGTATTTCATCTCATCTCCAATTCACCAGAGGCTAAAACTGGAATGAAGGAGCCTGCCTGTGCACTAGCAATGTTTGCTGGCATGTATTTAAAAACCTACAGCTGTGTTTTCCTTGGGGAAAGGGCACACTGAGGGCTCTGCAAAAAGCCCTTTGTGGGCTGGGGGAAGGTTTCACCCAGGGTTTCCCTTTAATCGTGCTCACCCCTCAGCTCATCCCCAATGCAGCTGTCTTGCCCTACCATGAAGGGGGTGAGGGTCTGCTTGCCCCTCAAAAATCTATGAAAGGCTTTACATAGTAAGTGATATCAAAGATTTGTGACTAACTCTATTGCTGTTTTACTTTGGCAGTAATTCTGCTCGTATATTCCGTTTTACATTTATATTAAATTATGCTGTGTTTTCTGGGGGGAAATTGAATGAAAGGATTTTTTTCCCCCTCCCGGGCAGTATTTGTTGGAGCAGCTTTGCTGTAAAGGAGAATAACCCCTGAGGAGATCAGTCTGTGCTGAAAAAAGTGACAGCAAAGGCTCCTGGGTTGTCTTCGCCTCACTTTCACCTTTCTGGCTGCTGTTTGATTCATGCAGTGGGGTAATAAAGTAACACCTACCTACCACAGACTTGTGAAGATGGAATAGTTGATACTTTGGAGGTGCTTTGATATCTTCTGGCATTTTTTTTCATATATCATATAATATAAATCAACTCTTTCCACGTGAGTGATTTTGACCTTAGCAGACTGCAATTGACCCTGATATCGCTGAAAGATCTGGGAGAACAATTTGGAATAGCAAGTGCTCTTGGATACTTAACAGGTCTTGATCTCAGTTTCCAAAATCTAAATTTTGCCTTGATTCAAAAAGGGACAAATAACTTTATCACATAAATAAGATGCTGTGGATCAGTAAACTCATCCTCATCTGTATTCTTTATCACTGCAGGGTCAAGAGGGAATATTCTCATGCAGGTGCACCAGTATTTTGATCTAGTGATCAAATTATCAATTTGATAATTGAGGATGTTCACACCAGTTATCTGTAGGCACTTGTTGCATGTGCTTAAAGAAGCCTGTGGTGTTAAACCCAAAATGTTCCAGATATGAACCCCTGCCTTACTGTGGTTTGGGGCATGGCAGACTAATATTTTGATCTTCAGCTGCACAGTTTTTCATTCTCTTAACTCAGCCAATCAGGGCAGGAAAGAACCCATCACTGACGGTCTTATTGCAGTCTGCTCTGGATTTTAAATAGGGCTGATGTTTGAAAACTGATTACAAATGTTGTTAATGAATCACAGACCAAACTCTCTACTCAGTGTCAGAAAAGGAAGCCAGAGAAAGCCTCAGAAAAATTAAGTGCAGTGCAGGAATGATGAAAGATGGTCTTTTCACTTTCAACAAATTACTATCTTTCATGAGGATTTCACTTGTTAAAATGAAAGTAATAACCAACATGCAAAACTACATGCTACAAAGAGCTTGATTTCCTTCCCAAATTAATTCTCCATCCTTCATTTGGAAGTGTACTGTTTCTCAAGGCTGCAAAATATTTTTTCTTATTTTATTCTTTAGTGCTGAGTCTGGGCTTTGCAGCAGCAGCCTCTGAGAAGCTTATAATGTTCAGCAGACTGCAGGCCAGCTGATATGGTTATTATACTGGTGTTAAACTGTGCCAAGTCTAAAGCCTGTGGATTGAGATTTTGTCAAACAGGGATCTAATTCTTCCCTCAATTTATGCCAATATTACTTGAATTGTTTTCACTGTGTCAGTGCCTAATTTATACTGGGGCAAAGAGTTGCAAAGTTTGGCCTATGTTGAACAAATAAACCATTATAAAATTTTGATAAAAAGGGTCAAAAGAATAAGCCAGACAAGGTCAGCTGGAACAGGGGGTGTGAGACCAGGGACAGCCATGGGATTACCTTTGCATGTAGGAGCGTAGCAGCGTGATTCCCAGCAGGAAGTACATCATGATAGAGCACACCATCATGGCCAGCCCGAGGAGTATGGCACGGTCTTCTCCAGCTTTCAGGGCTGTGACTGTTTTCCTTTTGTCCAGTAGGTCGTGATCCCTGATTTTTTGGTAAATATTTCTGAGGTTGAAAACAATACATTCATATGTGAAGTTCATATTTAATCATCAATGCAGCCTCTACAGGGTGGGAAGTTCCACCTCCATGCCCATCTCATGGGAGAGAAAGGCTTAAAAGTCCTCAGGTGTCCTTTTTCAATGGATTCACTCTGACCTGGTGGAAACTTATTCATCTCCAAAATTAATTACAGCCATTTCTGAAAAGGTAAAAAACTCTTACAGCAAATAGAAATATTAGACACTTGTGCCAGCTCAGTAAATCCTTCTTTGGTAGAGCCTCTTCGGCTCAGTAGAATTATCCCAGAGGTGCATTTGACCTGCCAGTGCCATCTTAGGCCACTAGAAGATGCTCAGGTGTATGAGGTGTCTTTTCTCCAGCTGAATAGAGTAGCAGGTCTTATGTTTCCACATGTTGGAAATAGCCTGAAGAAAACCATCATTAATATTATCTGAAAGGACCGTGCTCTCTTTTGATTCACTACAGGCTCTTGGTTTGGGCAATTTTCCGCCCTGAATGTGACTCAAAGCTCATGAAACACTATGGGGATTTTGCAATCGATTTCTGTGGGTTTTTTTGATTGGGAGCTTATTTACTTTAGTCATAAACCAGCTTTTTGGAAGCCCAGTTACTCATTACAGTGAAAACCCTCACAGAGAATTACCCACTAGAGCTATTTGTTCTGGGATTAAAAAAAAAAAAGAAAAAAAAAAAAAAAAGAAAAAGAAGATACAACAAACCATTCCCCCTTCAGCAGAGAGTCCTTTGCATTTTCTAACCATAAGTCCTTCTTTCATCTCCAAGCCTTTGATGATTCAATGGGTCATGAGGACACAATGGTGGAGAAGGAAATATTTGAGTACATTTCAAACACACTCAAACCTTGTGGGTTTAAAATGTACTTACAGACCTGAGGCTGGTCAAAATCTCCTGTGTTTTCTGTTATGGTTCTTTTGAATCATCCAGGCAGCACCCGAAGCATGTGAACCGCACACCTCTGAGCCCTGGCACCACCATAACATGGACACAGTAGTACACGTGGGAGGAGTTCCTCTTCTACTGTCTGCAAAATGGCAGGTGAGCAACATCAACGTCACTTTGGGCTCCAGCAAAGCCACCACTCGTTTAAGCTGAAGCCACCAAGCTTCACTCACCCGAGGGGAAAAAAAAATCAGTGAGTCAGGTCAACCAGGGAATTTACATTGACTATTAAGGATAGAGAAATAGAGATAAGACAGATGTAAAATCATACATAAACACAGTAGAAGCAACAGCAAAAAATATGTTTAATCATAGACTCCCTGAGACTGGAATTGAATTTCTATTTAGATGATGAGTCATAGTCAGGAAAAGCACATATGGTGTGGGGTTTTATAGCAAAAATCTTGCTTAGATGGTGCTGCAGTCAATAGTCTCCCGTACGTAAGAACCCTCGAGGTTTTTTTATCCAACTGTAGTTTACATCTTTAGATGTCCAGGGCTTCTCTTCAAAAACATCCTTTAAAGCTTGTCAGTGTTTTCCTAGTTGGAAATGAAATGGTAATTCAGCCTGTCAAGATTTTCTCTGCTGTTCAGGAGGAAAAATATATTGTAAACTGGCAGATGCAATTGCCTTCAAAGAAGTAATGGAGAGTAATAATCTAATGTTACTTTTCTATTATTATTTATCAAACTGTATTTAACTGCTGCCATTAGGATTTGCATTGCTCCCAAATGGAAGAAGACAGGAAGGCAGAGATTGTCATGCAGTTCCAGCACATTAAATGATCACACAGCATAACTTATGTCAACATGTAGGCATAAAACAGGCCCAGTGCAATCACTCACTAATGTCATAGGACATAAAATGGACAATTTTAAAACAAATAGCTAATTGAGATTGGTTACAAGTGCTTCCCATGTGGCCTTGAGCCAAGGGACATGCCATCAGAGGCAAAAAAAGGATGGACTGAAGTGAAAACAAAACTACTTGGCAAAGCTGTCTGGTGACCACCTGCCAGGTGCATCTTCCAAGCTCACCTACTGTAGGAAATAAAACTAAAGAAAGCTCTCAGAGGTCAGGCTTGGACCACTTCTCTTTTGTTAATATTTGTTATTCAAAGCCCTGAAAAGCAAAGTGATAACCTGGTACTCATCACAAGGCTTTTTTCCTCTGAATCTTTGCCAGGAGTCATCCTGGTGGCCCTGCTGGGGCAGGTGGTAGTGTGGCACATGCCAGCCCATGCCAGCAGTCCTACCACAGCCCAGGAGACAACGATGAGCAACCCTCCCTCCTCCTCCTCACGCTTATGCCTGCACTGGGGAGGTGCCAGTTCTCTTTGTGTGATACTGGGAACGTCTGCTGCTACAGAATTTCACATTTTTGCCCCATTGAGCCCTGGTTTGGGGAACACAATATGTTTTGCCCATTATTTGGGCACCAACAGAGCATGTTGCTCAGTCTCAGCACGTCCCTCGCTGGAGTGGCAGTGACATGAGTGTGCAGCTGTGCCGAGGCGGGTTCGTGTACCTGTGAACTTTTGGCACAGCTCAGGGGCCTCTCTCTGCTCGGTCAGCTGGAGCTACACCGTGCTTAGCTGGCTGATTTTGGGTCCCAGAGCTGCACAGCCACAGTCAGCTGCCTGCTGGGCTGTGTTTAGGTACAGGTCACTGCATCCCAGACACCGTTCATCAGGTGACTCCATCTAACACTTGTGATTTCCTGGGATAACTCCCTGTACGATGTCCTGGGGAGCTGCTGGTTTGTAAAGAAGCCCCAGCTGTCAGAACATGGGGTCTCCTGACCTGTGCAAAGGCATTTAATAGGAAGCAAGCCCCCAAGGACAAAAGGTCTTTGTGCCCCTGATCATTTCCAAACTGAAGTTCTCCCCTGCTGAATTTCCACGTCCTTTCTGCCAAGTTTTTCAGAGGATGAAGACTGGCTGCTCTCCCCAGGCTCTGATGCCAGAGAGGAGATCTCAGCTGTGACTGTGGCTGCTGGGGACAGAGAAGAGATTTCCCTGTCCATGTCCCTGCACAGCAGCAGTGAGGGGATCCCTCTGCAATGTGGCCAGCAGATCCTTCTGTATCTCCTGCTCCAAAATGAGCAGTACTAAGAGCTCTGTAAAGAGTGCTAAGTGTCCTCACGGGAAAGCTAGAATAGCCAGGCACCTGCAATTACTGCAATTACTTTATTTATTTCAAACAAACACAGATTACCTACCTTCAAAGCCTTCCTCTTGCAAACAAAGCATGGTGTGACACCGAGGGAGACATTGCCTCCTCTGGCACCACGCAGTCGTGGGGCTTGTCAGACAGGGATGCCTGCCTGAATTATTCAGAATGACTTTGAATTCACATTCTCTTCTCTGATATCACAGTTGTTATGCAGATGTCACTCAAAGATGTCCTCATGGTGAGGTGTTTACTGATATTAGAAACCCTTGAATGCAATGGTCAGAAACTACTCCTGTATCTTACCTGCAGAATTCCCTGTGTTTAGGGATTTTTCTGCTCAGAAGCTACTTTCTTTACATTTTTCTTTACAGGTATATTTGGCTGCACCTGATTTTGCTAGTAGACCTATGGCAACAGGAAATGTCTCTGGAGCCCTCAAAATAGACTCAGTGATGGTTGTAGGCAGATTTCAACAGATATTAACAGATTTATTCACCCAATTCCTTCCTCTTCACCAGGCTGGGCAAAACTGAACCGAACCAAACCAAACCAAACCAATGCTTTGTTTTCCTAATGGTTGCAATGGTTTGGGGAGCCTCTTTGACAGCTGAGAAAGAATGGGGGCTTGACTGGTTTTCCAAAGCATAAAATGTGACAGGGAATTGTGGATAGCTAAAACAGCAATGAAATACAGATATTCTGGTGCTGATCCTACAAAAAAAGGATGCCTGAGAGATGCCTTCCACCCAGGAGGAGGTGATTCTTTTACAGCAAGTGGCTCACTATAGTACAGTTAATATTATGGTGCAACCCATCAAAAGTCTCTGCTTGTAGCATATGTTGGGTGACAAGTCTGCTGATCCATATGACAATCTCCTGTCTGAAGTTTAAAGAACAAAATTCCCAGGAAAGGGTCATTTAAGGTGAGTCATTTTTCTAAAAGGCACACCAGTTTGATATAATGATGGCACTGGTGATCTTACATGTGTTAAAATCACTGCCAGACACTGGAGGATGAGCTTCTCCCACTAACAGCACTTGCTCTGTGTTCACACCTCTCCTCTGCAGTCCTCAGGCTGCCATCAGCACTCTCTTATTTCCATCTTCTTTTCCTCCCTTTCCCTCCTGCATTTTATTAATCACTCACAAGGTACAAGGAAGTCCTGTACAGCTCTACAGAACCTCCTGGGAAATAAACCCACCCAAAGGCTTGTCAAGATATCTGAATTTGCCATGGCTGGGGTGTAGGCATAGAGATACTGTTCCCTATTCCCTGCTTCTGCAGGCAGGCAGGGATGAGCTCTGCCTGCATTTGTACTGACCTGGCTCTGCTGAGCCCTCAGCCCAAGTTAATAAGCCTGGCTTCAAGGCATGGTGAGAGTCAAAGGCTGCCCTAATCAGGAACTTCCAGCCAGCCCAAAGTGTGGGCAGATATCTCCTTCAAGGGTCTGACCTTGGGCCATGACTGTTCTAATGCAGAAGGACATTGCCTGGGGAAAATTCAATTAAAGAAGAATCTAAGAGAAGTACAGCAGGCATTTAGACAACCAGCTCTAATGAAAGTTCATGCTGAAAAGCTGGAATTTTTGCCTTCAAAATATCTGTTTGGGATCAGATAATCCAAAGAGCTGAACACCTATGCAACCTTTGCAGAGACATTCAGTGAATTGGCCAATTCTCCAAAGAATCTCAGGGTCCTGAGGGCAGCTCTGCTGCCTGAATTCAGGAGTGCATATTGCCAAGCAGATGCCAACAGTAATGCCTCATCAGAATTACTGAAGAGTGTATTTTGCTAATTGGCACTGTAGATACATTGATATCTGTTTGTGTTTCACTGGAGTGTGATTTTTTTTGTGATTACATTTAATAGTGACTGCAAGAGGAACTGAAGGAGAGGTGGAAAGGAGCAAAGGAAAGAGAAGAAAGGCAAATGTGTCCTTGTTGTAATAAGACAAGCTGTCCAGCAAATCTTACTACAAAGGAGAGGGATTTTGGAAGGATGAATCTGAGCATTACTGACAATTGTTCTTTCATCATTGATATTTAACTTCTTTTGTTCCCAACTGAGCACTGCCTTTATCTGTGGACTTCAAACCTCTCCTTCCCTTTCCTTCTCTTTGGCACATTTCCCTGCTCTCCTGGGAGATCCAGTAACTCATTTATTCCTCTGTCTCCTTCAGGCTGCTCACTCCAGTGACACCACTCGAGTGGGCTGGTGAGCCACCAGCTCACCTTCAAGCAGCTAAACCCCCAGCTACTGTGCAATGTATTACACACATGCTCACACTCACAGGTGCACCTGCATAACCAGGAAACATCTCTGGCAGCTGGAGGCACCATCCAGATGTGCAACAGCTGTGTGGGACAGTGGTCTGGCTGGGGGATGGTGTGGCTGAAGGCTGGAGGCAGGACACCTGCAACAAGCATGAAGGCTTCACAGGGCTTGGGGCTGCCAGCCTGTGGCTGGGGATTTGTGTGCTTTGAAACCTAAATCAGAGATGGTCACGGTGTGCTGCTGATGTCCTGAGAGCAAGGAAGACTTCAGCCATGGCTCTGGCATGGCCCATCCGCTCTGCTTTGGCTTGGCACAGCAACCCTGGCACTCCTGGGCTGGTCCTGTGCCTGGTGGAGCAGCAGCTGGGGTTGTGAGGCACAGGGATGTGATGCCCACCCTTGGCATCCCTCCTGCTTCTCCAGTGTCACCACTGGGGAGAAGCCAGTGCCACACTCATAAATATTCAAACCCACAGGAGACAATCAGCACAGGTGCTGTTTACCTTTTCTCATCATGTCTGTAAGATGTAGATCCCCGGCCACTGGTCCAAATAAACATTTTAGAGGGTTGCCCAGTGTTGGCTCTGCTCGCTGCAGTGGGACGATGGAAGGACCTGGGGGAAGAGGGATAATTTATCACTGCCCATCCAACGTGGCAGAGCACATAACATCCAGCTCCCCTTGGCCATGCTCTGAAGATGCATGGACATCTTCATGTGCTCTGAAGATGGACAACTTGCTAACTCCAGATGAGATGTAAAATAATGGGGATGAGACACCAGTGTGTCAGAATGGAGAATAAATCCCATTAGCCCCACAGGCCAAAGGTGAGGCTGGCTAATCAGGCTTAGCTGCAAAGGATTCATACCAGGGGCAAGAAATCATCACAGTTTAAGAAAAGGGAATAGCTGAGTCCAACAGCTATGGCTGTATTTTTTGGGGGGGGAAAATGGCTATTGTTTAAGCACATACACACTCATTAGAGGTTTTTGGTTGTTCTGCAGCTCTCTGTAAGGTGAGGCTCTCAGGGAAGATGTCTGAATGCGGCAAAAGTATGAGATGCAAATGCAGCATTTTGTAGAAATGTAGCTGATATGAAAAAGGTATCTTTTCCCATGGAGAAATTACTATCCTGAGGCTCTCTGACCAGACCAGTTAGATACCTACCCAAGGACTTCTTTGTTTCACTTCATGGTATGAGATCTGTTGCCTTCTCTCAGGGTCTCAGGCCATATTTGACCTGTTAGTGGGTTATGACTCCCCTTATAGCTCTCTTAAATTCTTCTGGTTTTAGTGAGGCTCAGTTAAAATCTTGGTCTCTGAGAATTGGGCCATTCCTATGAAGGCTGCATTTTGCATTCTTTCACAGCACAACATTTTGTGTTTTTAATGCATTCAGATAAAAGCTTAAAGAAAAAAAAAAATATTCCAGACACCAATTACTTCATTGTGAAGTTTTCATACACTAGGGGCCATCCTTTAGCTCACTGAAAAATAAACCTGATGGCTGATCCTGTCAGCAGAGAAGGCACATGATCTGAGAAAGTCTCTAATGTCACTGTCTCCATAATCATGCAAAGGGCTAATTTCAATATTTGCATAGTGGCGAACCAGGAGAATACTTAAATACTGTAGAGTGGCTGCAGGGGAAGACTGGCATGGACAGGAGCCAAAATCCATCTGTGTGCTGAGGGACTGGGCATTCCACCTGAATCTGGGAGTCAGCCCAGAGTCCCCACCAGAGGGTCCATGACATAGCCCCAGGCCAAATTCACACCCTGGCTGGGCAAACTGGGCAAACTGGGCAAACTGGTGCTCCTGTCACCTCCTCCCTGCTGGGATCCCGCTGCCATGCTCAGATGCTGGCTCAGGACTGGGACTTGCAAGCAAGGACCTTGCTTAAAATAAGAGGTGGCAATATTTGATGAAGCTTTTGGCTGCATTTGTGAACAGCAAACTGGACAAGAAGGTGGTCCAAAAGAAGAGAGGAGGAAGGAGGGGAATCTCTCCCATTCCCTTCTCTGATTCTGTGGGCATCATTGCAGTCTGAATGCCAAGAAAACAATTCTGCTCTTTCCCTGCAACCACTGTAGTTAAGTATTGGGGAATAAACAACAAGATGAGGCACTACCTCCCTGAAATAACTATACTTTAGAAGGTAAAGTATCATCTGCTGGGATCTAATTAATATAGACAACAACTAAGTGTTTTGATAGCAATATTGGTCAAAAATTTCACTTGTAAGACCTTGAGCCAAATCCTCACACTGCTGGATAAGATTTTAGCCACATTACCTCAGACAGCACCACAGTGAGCACTCAGCTGGTGCTTCTGCTCCAAGTCATGCAGGAGGGGTCAGACCAACTACCCAAGGGCCACATTGCTGGACTGAGCCTGCCCAGGCTGAGTCCCTTAATGCTGGAAAATAAAATTATGTGTTTGCCATTGCACTCTTTAGGATGTCACACACTACAGAAAAGCCTGGCTGGTTGTGCTGCCACAGCCTGAGTGATCCCAGAGCCATCAGGAGATGGCGGTGAATGCTATTAGAGAGCCTTTTCTTAATTAAGCAAAACTTGGGCACATATTAGAGGTCAGCAGCAGCTTCTGCCACCTGTCTGATCCTACAGGGACACCTGGGCAGGGAGCCAGATTTATAAGCTCCAGAGCAAATTGCAGGAGCACTCTGGGCTGGGAGTTGGGTGAGAGGGTCTGTCCCACTGAGTGGATGCCAGAGAAGGAAAAGGGAGGCTTCTCTTCCCAGTGAAGTCAGAGTGATTTCAGACTCCCTTATAGTGCCAGTGCCCTGGAGCAGTCCATATGTGACAGCTTTTATGCTGCCTGCTTCGTTAGTTGAGCAATGCAAGCTAACTACCACTATTTAACACACAATTGCACACCTAATTTTGTGTAAAATTGTAACACTGATGACATCATAACACTACTCCAGAGGTCGACATGAGTGACTGAAGTCCATGGTTCCTTCAGGCAGGGGTTAGATGTTAGGTAAAAACCTTTTTTGCACTAGAAACAATACAAATTCCCCAAGACTCTTCTTTGAAGGCTTTGGGAGAATTCAAAACCTCCAAAGTTGCAACCTTCACGAGCATGCTCTGCCCCACCAGGTCACTTAACAACTTCAATGCCTTTCTCCTACCCTGGTAAGGCAGGACTGTGTTTCTTCACTGCCCCCTCTCTCTTCTCTGGGAAAACAAATAACACTACTTTTTCTTGTTCTTTTTCCCCCCATTGCTTCTCAGAGTCAGCTGCTGCCAACTTATTTTTATCATGCAACAAGTAATCAGCCTGTGAAACTCATTACTGCAGGATGTCAGCCTTGCATTCAGAACGGATTGTGTTATTGCCTGAACAGACGGAGCACCTAAAGTCACAAAAATACCTGTTAAAAACAGTGGAGATGTTTCAATCTGCCTTTTTGACTACCAGGACTCTGTGGGGGATATTCCTATAGGGCAGGTTATCCACAAACTGCTGTAGTTGATGTGACTTTTGCTATTCAGGATGCTGGGTGGGACTCTGGGCTTTCTGCCTCACCTTGCCTGAACACCTTTGTCTCCTTCACTGCTTTTCACAGAGTGGCACCAACGCAGTTGTCTGTTGACACGGTTGCCACAGTGACAGGCAAGGAGGCCAAGCTTTGGATTTTACAAAATACACATCATTTTTCATATCTGGGTCTATTCTGAGTAAATGCTCAAGGTTAAGGACGGAAATGCAGAGTAAAGAGTGCACAGTCTGGTACAAATACGTGAGTCTGTGATGCTGTCCCACTCCCTTTTCCTCTTGTTCTCATCCTCTTCTTGAACATTACCTGCTGGTGGATTTCATGGAACTCACTAGAAAACCTGACAAGATGTCCACTTTTTCAGCCATTGCAAGGTGAAGATTTGAGATAGTTCTTATAAAATTAGAGATATTCTGTCCTGTCCTAAGGACTATCAACATGTCCACCCAATAGCAACCACCTGATTGAGGACTTCAGTGTGAAGAAAACACAACAGGGTAGCATTTGCTTCAAATTGCTTCAAAAAATGATGTAATTCTGAGGGTAAATCACAAAATCCCTTAGCTGGTATATTGGGGACTATATTACATACCCTGTGCTATCCTGTATTACTCTGTTGTCCTCACTTTCACCCTGGCTTGGCTGCTCTCCTTCCTCTGCCTTCAGTTTGTGTCATGACTGGTATGAAAAGTCCCTTACCTCTAGGTCACAGCTGTGAAAAGCCAAGGAGAGATGTTGAAGAGCATATTTTTAGATGGAAATCTGGGGTTTAGATGGGTTTTATGTGTGTGTTCGCTTCTAATTGCCTCTATGTTTATGTAAATCACAGGTTTTCTGAGACCTTGGAGAACCAATAACAGCACCAAACTAATGAGCTTTTCTCCCCTTATGACATTTCATTTCCTGGGCAATGTGGCCACTGTAAAAAGAGAAGCACTTCCATTAATTTTGTCTCATAAAAGACACTCTGATTCATCAAAAGGCAACAAAAGCTAAACATTCACCTAAAGATACAGTCACTGATCACCTCAGCTCTGTCTGAATGCACCCACATCCCCCACTGTCCACTCTGACAAGTGCTGGATGTTTTATCCCAGTATTGCCCAGCCAGAAGATTCATTCAGACTCCAAGACAGTTCTCTGGAAACCCCAAAGTTTTCCTGCTATTCCACAAGTTAACCTCTCCCTGTGCCACCACACAGCTATCAGTGCCAGCCTTGGGCAGATGGGTCAGTTGCTGTTGAGTGATGGGAAATATTTGATCTCTCTCATGGCTGGCTAGACCCCTTTTTTGAGTGGTCCTACCCACCATCACCCAAGAGAAAAAGAAGAGACTGAAAACAGACATCAAACATAACCTGCAAGAAGAATTTTCAGTTTTTTCTTGTTCACTTTGAGGTGAATTTAGTGTTTAATGTAAAGTGTAGCCTGACTGGAGGGTGGCCTGGATTTCAGGTGCCTTAGTGCATGGAAGAGTTTCCCAGGCAGAGTGGTGGAAGTAACTCCTGAATTAAGATGCTCCTCTCTGATTCAGGAGATGATCCAGGGCAGTTTTAAAAGAATAAAAGGATAAAAGGGACCAAGGACCCTTGTTTGCATCCAAAACAAGACAGAAAACACACACCAAGAACACAATCAAGCTAACTCACAAAAGCAATGCATCTGCATTAGCAGAGGACAGTCACCACTTAGGGAACATTGAATGCTCTGGCAGCAGCAGCTCTGAACTGAGGAGCAGCAAAAGCAACATCAAAGGGTGAAT